AAAAGTGCCGGTCAAAGGTCTTCTTTGTTATTCAACACCTTGGGACCCGTTATCGTTTTAAGTTTTTGTCACACGTTTTAGTCTTGGTGGTTTTCCAAGCGGATCTAAAGACTACGAAGCCAGCACAGCAGTTATCATTTGTTACATCAGTAAAGGAAACGAGAAACTGCTATGTGGTTTTAACAGCTGGCCGAAAACACACTTAGTTTGTGTAAGAACAAGTTACTCAGTCAACTTGTATCTACCCCTCGTTCGAGTCAAATATTGAATGTTCTGTTTCAAATTACACCATGTTGTATTTAAACAAGCACCTCTTTTTGATGCAATGAGTCGTAGCTCGTTTCATTTTGTTCTGCACTGACATGATAAATCATGTTTCTTGGTGGCTTCACTGCAATGTTCTGTATAGTATGATGAATTTAGATATCACCAGGGTTTTGTCCGTTTTGTTTTGAAGGGTTCACAACTTTAGGTTATGTGAAAGAGAAAAGTAGGAAATAAACTTCTGAAGGAGAGTGATTCAGAACTGCTTTTACAGTGAAAGTACAACACCAGGTGGTACACTCATCACTGCCTTTTATTTGTTATGGTTAGCTGCTAATGATGTTAACAACATATGAAATCTCTCTTCTATTGCATTCACAGTTTAGCCCTGGGTTAAACCCTCGAAATGCCAACAATGTACATGTAAAACACATCTCAGAAAACAGATCAAAAGAGTCCATTTCTTCTTCCGTGGCAGTAAAGGCCTGCATCAATGCCTGCCAGCGAAGACAGATTGATAATATCTTCCTCAGCTGCCATTGACTTGCACAATATGAATATCCAGCGGGCCTCGCTGCTCACTCCCCCTCACAAACGGACCCAAAACCAGCGCTGGGCTCGCACTCCAAACAACAGCCGCTGACATTTGCAAAGCATCCGCAGAGGAGAGGGAAAGCACAAATGTTCCAGCTCAGTGGGAGAGCAGGGAGAGTGTGAGCCATTCCTTAAGATGTTGTTCATCTTCCCTGTCTTTATTCTCACTCAGCAGGCGGCCATTTTCCTGGCTCAGACTGAAGGTTCTTCAGCACACCTGGTTCATACTGGAAGAACAGCGGGGGGGGTTGCGGGGGGGTTGCGGGGCAGAGGGAGGTCACAGTGTGCAGAGCCGGCCAAGAGTGGCGGATTAACGGCAGCGCTTCATTCAGACAGACACCCGGCTCACTGCTCATTACTGCTGTAAGGGGATTTCAGCCGCAGCTATAAGCTCACCTATTTCTGCTGCCTTTGTCTTTGGTTTGTGACAATGTTTAGTAGTATGGGCAGTTACAATATGCACATGCTAAGTACTATTTGATATGTTCCAGTGTATCGTCCTTGCACAATGTAAAAGGAATACTTGATATGGCATCTTAACAACTTCATTTATGGTAAAGTGGCGTTGAGGAGATTTTTCTAACTAGAGGAACATTTTACTAAAAAAGGCTTCCAGCAACAAACCATCTGCTCTATGTTTTGTGTCCTTTTGCTGAACGTGAGAAACTGGCCTAAAGAAAGTCAGGATGTTTTACATTTCTGTTTTTATGCAAATATTTGTTTTAAATCAATTGTTGATCATGATGTTTAGTTTCCTGTTTTTGGAAGCCAACCAATCAAACTGAAAATAAATGCAAATAACCTTGGAGTGTTTCACTATTTTATGTTTAAACATGCAACCCTTAAAGTAAACAAAAAAGCAAACCAACTGCCTTCTGGTTACAGATTAAAAAAAAAGTAGTTAGCACATGAGGTGTGTCAGTTTAGTGAACAAACAAACCAATGATGATTTAACCAAACTATTCCATCATAGTTGTGCCTTTCTTCTTACAAATGTTGTAGATTATACGGTTGCGTGTGTAATGCGTCTCTTTAGGCATGTTTTTCGTAAAAAGCACCGGGGGTTTCCATCCCTCCAGGATACTGCTTATTATTCTGCTTAAAACACAAACACACATCCAGCCCACCATTAAATACAATAACTTTAAACACAGAACAGATGTAGCGCGTTTGATTGCTGTTATTCTACACAAAAGATGCAGGTGGGCATCAGTACTGGATGGATAAACACAGTGACAAGCCTTCCAACTGAAACTGTCAAATTCATCCCCAAGCACCTGATCATTCTAGATAAGCCATCAAATGCACACACAATCGCACACAGTTAGCAGACACGCACACACGTTGGACCAAAAAGCCCTGAAGACTTGTATTGCTCCACTGGAGGAGACTCTGCGGTGAGTCTGTCCTCTCACTGCAGAACACTGAGCTGTCAGCTTTATGTCCTGCCTGCGCTGGGTTCTCTCACCATGTACTAAAATGCATAATATGTTAGGGGTCACGTTATACAATGCACTCCAATCTCATTAAGCAAAGACCCTTATTTGAGTGCAACCTCTGCTAAACATTCAGAGTACAAGGTAAAGAGGAAAGCTTAGACTAAAAAGAGATAGTCTTTAATGCATACTTTCTCTTCCTATGTGGAACAGAGGAGAGGAGATAGGACCCATTCTCTGGTGTCCTCTGCTCCGTGTTTGTGTAGAAGTGCTACTTCTGCATCTAGTGTTTTATTACTGCACTGTGAGTTCTAACCTTAGCGAGTGTAAAAGAATATCAACAGTAGAAAAGGACACTCTCCCTGTTGCTCGTGGAGCATGTTTTTGTGGCTTCGCTCCTGCTATCCGGCCCCTCATGTCGGAGCCAATGAGGCAGCCACGCGGCCATGCAGTGAGCCATGACATCACAGAATTACAAATAGAGAGGCCCTTTGGAAATGACTCTTATCTTCATCCTGCTGAGGACTTTTGGAGGAGAATGAACTATCTACCAGCGGGGAGGTAAACAGCACCTTGGTAACTTTGGCAGTATTTGCTGGTATCCCGGGGGGGGCCTAGCGAGTGGTGGGCTGCCTTCAAATATTTGCCTTGTGTGATCAGACTGTCATTGTCCCTTGTTTCACCCTCACTTGGCAGTGGGTGCACACACAGAGGAAGAAGGTAGGGAGTCTGCTTTCTATTGGTTGGCAGTTTGGGAGAAATGATGTTCATTCACAGTTTGGGGATTGAGGCTCTCAGTTTGCTGGAGCAGACCCTTTCTGTTGGCTTTAGGGGGGGGGGGGGTACCCTTTCGCCACATTCCCTTACAGTGAAAAAAACCACACTGCTATGGACAGAGCTGCTCTGTCTGTACACCTCAACACGAGCCAAGGGTGACACCTAGAAGTTCAATTCTGTATTCATGCTTCACAGAAAAACACATCAAAACATGTTAGTACTGTCAGTTGTAGAACTCTTTGGTGTTACATCTGTAAACATGTACAAAATGAAGGGTCTCAATATGTCAGCCTGTGCTGGCGGCATGAATGTGAAGCTGCAGAAAAGAGAGGAGCCGCCTGGAAACATGCCAGCAGGCTTGAGACAATGGAAGCTGAAGCAACAATAGAACACCACAAAAACGCACATTTGCCTATGGACATGTAATGTAGGTAAGCGGGGCCTCTCTGCTTTTTACCGGCTTAGGAAAAGCTCTTCAAAGAAATGCTATCATCACTCAGCAACTGTAATTGAGAGAGGAGGGCGTGGTGGAAAAAAAAAAAACTTTTCCTCGGATAAATATGACCCCGAGGAGGGAACTTTGCCGAGCTCAGCGGAACAGACCACGCGAGCAAAGGCAAACTGACATTCAGTTAAAAGAGCATCAAAGGAGAATGAGTCAGTGAGAGCTCAGTGCAGGAGGGCAAACAACCTTTAGCCTTCTGACGCCTCAGTTTATCATGTAGCAACTCACCTCCAGATATGAAAGGCACGTGTGTAGTGTGAGAGGGTGACAGTAGGCTGGAAGTGAGTGACAACACGACTTATCCGTGTCACATGCCAAAGCTGAAACCCATCTGGCCAATGGCTGCCCCCTCTGCACCGCCTCCCCCCTCCCCAACCTCACTGCCTTGAGTGGGTACAGATGTGTGATGAGCAGACGCTCTCGAGCCCTTTTTGGACCCACAAGGCTCAACAGCGCCTGGCACACAGCTTGAAGAGGTCATGGCCAAAGTGTCACTGCACAATGTCACATCATTGCAAGGCGATTGTGTGAGGGTGTTAGAGGGGCTACGGCTAAAAGCAGGACATTTTATCATTCGGAATGACGCAATGCACAGCTCACAAAAACAGCAATGTGATATTTCAGATCGCTTATGAAAACATTGGGGTGACATTTTATAAGATTATCTTAAAATGACTGATATTATAGGAAGAAAAGATGGAAAATGATGCACTCTTTCTCGGGAAAGTGCAGATTACTCAGCGCTACATCACACTGTCTCTTCTGAACATACTCCTCTTACTATTCCGAAATTAGACTTCATGTTATCTAAACTACAAACAGCGTAAACAATCAACTCATCTCGATTCCTGACACATTTCTCCATCAACAGAAATTCATCTATGAAAAGCCAAAGACATCGGGTAAATAGACAACTCTGAAATGATTGAGAGGGATTTATTTGTGTCTGTTTGACAGAAGCTTGGCAGACAACTGTCCCACTGCCTCTATAGAGACATTGTCTGTATTGTCAGACAAATCAAATTCAACAACGGAAATATAATTACTTCTTTCAACTCAGCATGGCTGTTTTTTATATCTGAATGAGGCAGATTGTTGTTTATCTGTTATGTTTTGACAGCTTGAACATGCTTCCATTCAAAAAGGACCATGCAATGGAAACTGATTATCTCTATGAAGCAACACACAATGCCTACTTTGTCCACGAATTCGATTGATGGCTGTAATCTGACCATATTTTTGATCAATGCAAAAGATTAAACTCTATTAATTTGGCATGGATAATGTGCCCTTGATTCACCCTCACTCGTGATCATGATACAAGTATTATTGTAGTTCCACATAACCCTTGGGGCTATATATGTCAACTATGCCACCTGAATCTTATACATGTCCCCCCTGTAGGGTCACTGTCACAGCCTTACCTCTTTCACTTTCTCCCGTCGCTCGTTGGTGGTGGGGTCGCTGGTTTGGCCGCCGTCTCTGCCCAGCGGGGGCTTGAGCAGACATCCTTTAAACTTGTTGTAACTGAAAGTATCCAGGTTGTCAGAGGAGGACGCTTTCACCGAGGCAGACTCCGTTATCAACCGGGGCAGTGTGAGGTCCTCCTGGGCTTTCCCCCCGGCCAGCCGCTCCTCGGTGGCCTCGTGAGAGACGCTCGGTTTGCGGATCAGGCTCTTCAGCTTGGTGCTGCTCTCTCCCTTGGCGGGGGTCATGCCCTGCTCCTTGGGTCTCTTCAGGTGCTCCCTGGCATCGTTCTCGGACCCGGAGCCAACAGTGACCGGCTGGGTCTCTGTCTTGGACAGAAAAATGCGTTTTAGTCGCACAGAGTCGGGCAAAAAGAAAAGCGCCCCAAAACAAAGTGTTACTAAACCCGAGAGAAAGAGCAGAAACACGAATTTCTGGGACAGGCGCAGACCCATGCCCGATGCCGACACGCCGGGCAACTTTCGGAAAACCATTGAAACTTTTGTTGAGACGTTGCTTTACGGGATTGTATCCGACACCTCAGTGTGTTGACAGTCTCCACTCTACTGAGGAGCTTCACTGCTGCGTTGGGGCATGTGTAAAAACTAAATATGCCGGATTTTAAACACACCCCCGTGACAGTTGCAGAGGAGCACAAACAGCCAGCGCTGTCTTTATCGCGCTATCGATTGGATCTGCATAAGCGAAGGTCAGGCCTGCCTACATCAACAATCTACCAGTCATTGGCAACACAACTCGAGAGGTTTTATCTACATAACGGGATCACTGACATCAATAGAATGCAGGATTTGGGTTTAGAAATGTGGAACGGAACAGGGCTCCGGGGCTGACAGATAAATGGCACCGGCGTTGTCCTGAAAGCTATATTCAAGAATAACAGGATTACCAGAGCACACGCCAGGCTAGCGAATACATGCACTCTTATAAAATATAATCGCAGTCTGCCAAGCCTGTGAACAAAGTTGTGTCTCGATGCATTATTCCACGCCGTGCAAAATCGTCAATAACACATTGCCCTACGGTGCAAAACCTCAAGCGTGCAGCAGAGCATCTTTTCCTGGTCTCCGTTCAAACCGACTCACGTCTCTGCATTATAAGCACCCGAAATCACATGTAAGATCGCGAGTCGTGTTTTTAGTTTGCATCTATCCTGTACAGCTGCAGGACGGAAACGCGTGTATATTCATGTCGCCTATCTGTCAATCTTCTCCAGTGTGTCGCCTCCGATTCCCCCTCACACTGGTGTCAACACGCCGGGCGAAACAAATCGGCGGATGACATGAAAGAAGGCGGGTTTTTTTGTCCCATGCGAAGTTATCCTAGCCCTGATCCAAAATCCAGAGAATAAACAAATCCACAATCCAGTCTGCCGGGTGTCCAACAAAGACCGACACACCGCCGTCCGTCCGTCCGCCTGCCGTGCCTCCTCCTCCGCCTGTAGTGCGCACTTGTGTCGCTGTGCCGTGGACGTCCGCCTGCGTAAAAAAGCGAGGGGAGAGGGGCTGGAAATGTAACATATAGTGCAGGCAGGGGGCGAGGAGGAGGGGGGGAGAGAAGAAAAACGGTCCGCTGCTCGACAATCCAGTAGGCTGGTCGGATTTCTTGATGGATATTCACAGCGGCTTATCACAACACACTACAGTTAAGCCATGTGGACAAAAGCAGAGAGGTCTGAATGGCTCTGTACATTAGAAAACCATCCGCACCCCCCCTCACGAGGAAAATGAGCTCGTTTAATCCTGGAAAAGCACGGATAGATATCTGCCACGGATGTCTCAACAGTCCTCAGGAATTAAATAAGCAATACAATGAGCTAAAAATAAGAATGTAGTGCTTTCTAACAAGCCCACCATTCAATATTGCATGGGTTATTTTAAAGCCCATATTTGTCTATGGATGTGACCATGTGGTAAGACACACACCTGATGAGGTGTGCATCAATTAAATATATTTTTATTGTACAATTTAACTTTTAATCAAAACGTGTTGTTGGCTATGCTATTCATGTTCTCTTTTGCTAGCCTACTGTATATCACCAGTGTGCCTTTCACTTAATAATCGCGTTTTCGCAATTGACGTTAACGTAAACTCAAACATAAATAAACATAAAACGTGTCCAGCAGGTCGTCTGATTACAATTACCCTGGTTTGGCAGACATCCAACGATTCATCAAAGACTCTTCTACCAAGCTGAAACTTAAAAATAGTAGGTCCGCTATGCATTAAAGAAGATTTGTAACATCTTTGCCGCGTTGTTGCAGCTCCTGATTAGCCAAAATCATGTGCTAGCGAACCTGCAGCGAACAAGCCAAAACTAATGTGGCGACCGGAAGTGACGCATCCACCTGTTGTCTTGTTTGAGCAACACCAAAGTTTTAATTAAAATATTTTACATTTTGTTTAGGTTATTATTGAGTTAAAAGCTAATTTGTTACCCATATAATTAATAACAATATTTGATTTTATTTCTATTACATATATTCTTCTGCATCATACACAAGCTTGGAAAATGGCAACCATGTTTGTTTGGCTGAGTCATGACACTGGCAAGGGGTAAAGAAATCATTGTTAATGTAAAACAGGTGGGCCATTTTTTATAACAGAGTTGTATTCTCTAAAGTGTTAACTGTTGAAAAAGATGATTGATGAGTGTTAAAACTGGGCTAGATGCTCATGATGGATCACAAAGTGCCTCTTGGTCCCATTTGTTAACACAAGTTCCCATTATTTATGTTTGTTGTTACTTGCAATTGTTTCATTGGATCTGTGTTATTGTAATTTCATCTTTCAAGGTATATACTTAGTTCCTTATGGCAACAAAGTAAACTAGAGAATATTTTATGTCATTGTCTGCATTAAATTCATCTTCTATTGATCCCCAGGTATGTTGGTACACAGGAAGTTTAGAAAAGCGTGTTTGCATAATGTTTACATATGCAAGATAAAGTGTAAACAAAGTGTTTTCTCAGTATTAAATAAGATAGATGGGCCCATGAGTTGGCCATTACTGAAGAGCCTGCACAGCACTATTCAACTAATGCACCTGAAAGCAGAAATTAGAAAATAGAGGGCTGATCGGATTCAATATTGGTCTTTAATTACACCTCGCAACCCCGCGACCTCTGCTGTTCCTTAGAGATTTTTTGTCATTGTGTAGTCCAAAAGTTTTCCCAGGATATCCCAACAATCAGTATATTCAATGTAGACACTCAGTGTCATTGACTTTCCTGACAATGTGTGTGATGTATAATGAACTCTTGATGCGCCTTAGGACAGATCTTCCTCTTTTCTTTCCTTTGTCTCCTTCTCTGTTGTTCAAATAATCATTTCAAAGTATAAGTGGATATTTTTCATTCTTCCAGGCAAGGTCTTCACTGGTAATATAAGCACATTTTTAAGATTTGTGTCATGAAGCCCCTCAGGCTCTTTTTTGTCAGGTGCATATGGGGGGACAAGCTCATTTTAAGGTAATTTGTACGGCAACTTAACATGGCCCCACATTTATACCGCTAATCCATTTCCTTCAGCAGCCCTAATTGCCTCAGACTGGTTGTCTATAATTTACAGATAGAGACAGATCTGTTGAATTTGCCTTTTTTATTTTCTGATCAAAGAGCATTTCCTCTCAAAGTAGGTAAATCTGAAGAGTTGTGTGGGCTTCTTTGCTGACAAAAGGACAGTTTGTAGTCTGAGAGAGGGGCTTTGTGATGGCTCAGCGTCTGTGTGGATTAACGCTTTCGTCTCGTGTGTTTCATCACTCTATGAACTACAGCATACACCCAGCAGCCACTTCATTAATGTACACCTGTACAATCTGATGCAATCAAATGCAATTGTTCTGCCATATTGTAATGATGCCTACAATATTCCGTTTTTATAACCATTAATGAAATATATCTAAATTTATGTTTTAGCATTTGGTACATAAGTGTTGTAATGGACTCAATTCTATTAAAATGTAATTATTATAGCTTTCACACATGTACATTTGGAGGACAAAAAATAAAGCACAGCACCAACTTTAACATAATCATTTCATTTGATCCAATTCTGACTAAGTAAAAACACAACTTAACATTATAATCTTTGTAAAGGTATATATTATTGCGGGGATATTGGAGGGCACGACATTATTCACATAACTTAAAACATGGCCTCTGATTGAACATGTTGAACAGCTCCAAGAATAGGCATACCATTCCTGTCATCACTGAGCATTTACAAAAACACACCTAATGGATTATTCATATGTTTATGCAGATTCAAATTAAATGTAATACCAATTTGTGCCTTATAAAAATAAAAATAAATGTAATAGACATATCAAGTCTGTTTATCTCAAAAGGCCAAACTACACATGAGTCGTTGAGCTTGCATGAAGCTGCACGGCCGCTGACAGCCTCCTTTATAACAAAGATGAATGAGAAACGCAATACAGCCTTACCACTACAGGCAAGGGTGAAATCCAAGCACAGACATTTTCCACAGAAAACAAATAGTTAATATAGGTTAACAGCTCCTACAAAGGTCCTTCATATATGCTCTGTATTCATCACACCACTGAAAATAACTACTGTTGTTACACAATTTCACAGCAAGCATGTGTCATTTCTGGTGACTCTATGCTGTTCATAATGCAACACTGGCAACACACACACAAACTGATCCTCCATGTACTACAAACATCATTTATGAGCTTGGAGGAGGAAATCTGTTGCATGTGAAGTTGTTCACATCAGTCTGAGTCATGGTTTATCGGTTTGGAAGCATATCCTCACATAGAATACATTTGGGGATAAAGACTATGAATTTTCTCCCTTTGTTCTACTCTTGTATGTGATAAAACATCTCATACAAATATAACTGGAGTGATGAAGTGTAATACATTATTTTTCCCTTCACTCTTAAATCTGAGACTTAATTAAAAGTACACTGTTGCCACAGAAAATCAGGGTTCTTACACTTGCGAAATGACTCTAAAAGTATGCAGGGTGCGGCCTAAAACAGCTGACTGTCTGTTAAACATTTTTGCAGAGGGTCACAGATTGTAATGAGTTTTGTGATCCATAACCATTTCTGCTCTTGTATTCAAAAATGTAATTCTGTCCCAACCCGCACTGATGTTTTATTCATCAAACAAGATGCCAATGCGAAAGTCCATCTCTGTGTTCCGCTCACTCCAATACATCAAACAGCTGGCAGAGACGTATTGGTCCGTGCCAGCGTGTCCAGATTAATAATGTCACCGTGCCACGTTATTTGTTTCTCTAAGCGCCGCTGCAAAGCATTCTCTGGCATCAGGAATCATGGCTCTGCAGGACGCTTGATGTGGAGACATAAATTACACAGATAGCTTTTTGGGAATGGGGTGCTGACCCTGGTGCATGATGTGATCTGACTCAGCACACTGCAGATGTGGACCACATTGTAACCATCCATAAATTCTGGGTCACCTGACAAGATGTGAGTCTGGCAACTCAATCATGATTTGTCTGATGAGGAATCTCCTTATCTTATTATGGGGTGGTGTATTGAAGCTGTGTGTGTCCTGCAGTGATGGGAAAAAGGTACTCAGACCCTTTTCCCAATAGTAAAAGTATTAAAACCACAAGTTGACATACTTTGGTAAAAGTAAATATCCTGGACTTGGAATAGTGTTTAAGTGAAAGCACACATGTGTGATCAGTCTACTGTACTAGAAGTTTAAAAGTTAAAGTGGACCTATCATGCTATATTTGAATAATATAGTGTAGGACCATACCTATATAAGGCATATTTATACTTTATTTTTCAAAATACCAAACAGATCATGCATTTTAGCCATTCCTCATTTCGCTCAATTTAACACTGTCTTTGCATGGGCTGATTCTGTGAGAACAGCACCATCTACAGGCCTGGCATATGTACTACAGCGTCTCCAGCGCTTTCGAACGGCAATGTCTGTGGCTGTCTCCTCCTGATTGGTGGAGTTGTCCCAATAGCCGTAGCGCCACTTTTGTGACGTCACAGAAGTGTTCAAATCTGGATCAGTCTGCAGATCCGTTGCAGCCCCTTTTTAAGAGATTTGGGTATGGAGGAAAATAGAGAGGGTTGTGTTTTCTGACACTTGGTGAGTTCCCTGGAACACCGGGGACACATATGCATGTATAAAAGACGTACAAAAGTGCATTTTGCATGATAGGTCACCTTTAAATAAAGAAATGTTGTGTATTGACGCTCAGTCCTGAGATTAAACTTGAATACAAGCCCATTCAAAACTCTCCTTGGTCCTGTGTCTGTGTGTCCATATTAGTTGAAGCACCAAACAGTAAAATACATAATGCAGAATGACCCCTGTCAGAGTGGAAAATCTATAAAAAGTGTACATGGCTTGAATACTCGATTCTGATTGGTGAATGTGGAAATTCCAGGGGTTTTTATTTTTCGCTAACGCACCACTGTTAAGAAGAACAGACCGTTGCTTAGAAGGATTTAGGGACTAGGTGTATTCATTTCAGAAAACAATATGGAATACTGTCGCAGCAGTTCAAAGCAATACGATAATTTTTACATTTGCGTATAGGTATCCGGTGTACCATGTATTGTCAGTGTTTTTTGTTTTCA